GCCTGTCAATCAGGTCACAGCCAATGAGGCCTCTGTGTGGGCATGGCCTTCTCCTGAGGATTCTGGGAACTCCTGTCTTCCTCCCTAGAGGTGGGACACACATTCACTATGAGACATTCCTATGAACAAGTCAAATGGAGCTATCCTGATGGAGCCAGGAACCCTAGAGCTGGAGGAGCCACATGGAGATGCTTCCACCACCACTGGATCCACAAGACTTTCCACCCATTGGCCTGTGATCTTCCTGCATTCTATATCATTGCAAGTGCTGCATGAGTTTGAAGAGGAATTTGCAGACTGGTATCATACATATGGACTAATATCAGACTTATGGACTTATGGATCTAGACTGGACTGGGATGTTTTCTTAATATACAATTAGTCTTTATATAAAGGTCTTTCTTATACACATATGCGTGTCTCCAGATTTGTTTCTCTAGTCAACCTGACTAGAGAAACACAAGGACTAACAGCTATTCCAGCGTCTAAGTGCTTCCATCCAAACCTAAAACCAAGCCCACTGCCACAGAGTTGATTCTGACTCACAGGAAACCTCAGGGGCAGTGTAGAACTGCCCGTTTGGTTTTGGAAACTGTAAATCTTTAAGGGAGCAGATAGGTTGCCTTCTCATCTCCTGGAAATGTCCTCCTCTTTCACTTGTCACAGTCAAATTCAAATGGCACCTCTTCCACAAAGGGCCCCGCGTTCCCACAGTCCATTAGGGACAGCGTTCTGAAACCACTTGACCTGCCCCTTTCAACACCCAAAATTAGCACTGTATGTACAAATTCTGTATCTTAGATGAGAATGCAAGCCTCCCTGGGGAAAATACGTGAATGGTTCATTTCTTTATTCCCACACAGAATCTACACCAGATTTTTAGTTACATAAAAGCGTGCTTTAATAGCTATAGAATTCGGCCCAAAAAACAGCATGTAAGCAAGTGTTGGATTTTTTCTTCACTGTATCTAAATATTATTTTACTAATGAATATGATTCATCATCTTAATTTATGAATTCTGAGCTGCTGCAGTCTGGTCTTTGAAAACACAGGTAGGGTTCCGTGATGCCTGAATCCTATGCTAGGTCAAGCGGGGGAAACCCACAGTTCCCTGGACCTCAAACTCACCTCGTTTGCTAAGGCGAACGTTCCCCAGTGAATGGCCACTGATTTCTTTGCCTGAACATCAATGTGAACCCTTACAGCTTCTTCTGGGTCAACATGTTGGTATTTCATAAACCACCTGGAGAAACACAATAGTCCATTAATTATAAATGGCCTGTGAAACACATACTCTCAATTCGAAGGACTGTTCACCTAGTCGCACTTGCCCGTTCTGTGAAGGAGTAAATCCTACCTGTACGAAAAGACGCCATCCCCAAGAGCCCACCTTTCTGTTGGGAAAACACAAAACAACAAGCCAAAATCGCTCTCAGACAAACGGCTATCACTAAAGACACACACACACTCACTGCCTTGGAATCCCCTCCCACTCACAGCTAGGACGATGACAGGACAGCGTCGAGGTGCCTCAGGGGTTCCAGAAGCAGCTTGCCCCCAATGAGTGGCTGGTAGGCATGCCAACCTTCGGGTTAGTGCGGCTGAGTGCATTTAACCCCTGTGCCACCAGGGCTTCTACGAGTTACATTATGTACTGTGAGTTTGTTTCATGTGTAGTTTTATTTTACTAATGACTTCTTCTGAAGATAGGCCTCCTGTTGCTTTTGAAAGTACACAGTCTGCAATCCTCGGCATGAATTAAGGTAAAGAACTGGAAGCCAGAACTCAAATGGCAAAAGAACCTGAATAACCTGCTGAGACGAATTTTTGAAATGGGCTAAAAGCAAAAAGCAAACAAAAATTAAGGTATAATATTCAAGGCCTGGAGTAAAAAAAAATCCAGTAGCTATTCAAGGAATTTTATTTAAACATCATGAAGCTAAACAATGAGTTGTTTGGTTTGGCAGGAACAGTAAAGTCCAAGGGGGAATAATGAGTAATGAGATCAACAGATATTTCAGAAATGTTGAAAAAAAACACAAACTTGCAAGGAGTGGCTGGTGGGTTGGAACCACCTACCTTGTGGTTAGCAGCGCAATGCCTAACCACAGTGCCACCAGGACTCCTGAAAGGCTGCCTGGAAAACCTCTGGACTTCAGTTTCCTTATCTGTGGAACTGGAATTATATTCACCTCCTAAATTCATTGGATTCAACAAAACCAACAAAATTATCAGGTATGGTACCTATTTCATAGAAAACTCACAAAAGAATAAAAATGACGTGTGCCCCCAACCCTTACTTTCAGGAGAATTATCATTTCTGATACAAAGGAAAAATGTATTGTCTACAGGCAAATTCTTTGCTTTCCAAGCCATCGGTTTCAGGGAGGAAAAGAGCCCATCTTCACATTATTTCTAGTCCCTGGCTGCCACTGCTGACTAATGCTAGTCAAGACTAATGGATATGGATTTGGCCTGGTGCTTCTGCATTTTACTGCACACATTATGAGAAGTTCATCCAACTACAGCAGTCAGGGACTTCTTACTGTTAGGAGGAGATGGCCCTATGGGAACCCAAACACAAAGCCGCTATGTTCGTCTCAACACTTAGATCTGTTGAGAAGTTCTGTTTGGCCCCATCTCCTCACGCTGTGAATTCAAGGCAAGATGAAACTGAATGCTTTGAAATTTCTTCTCTCTTCTGTAAGCAATCCATGCTAAGAAAAATACAGAATGATGGATGGGCCTCCTAGGCCTCAAGCATGAGTGTGGCCTTTAGGTGCTCTGAAGATAGGTGATGAGTATGTACCGTGTATACTGAAGTATAAGCCAACCCGAATATCAGCCGAGGCACCTGATTTTACCACAAAAACGACATTAAAAATGTGCTGGAAAACTCGGCTTATACAGTGTGTAGGGATAGGACTGTTCCGTGCTGCCAGCCACTGAGAACATCAAGGAAGTCGTGGCAAATCCGGGAGCTGCAGGACAGGGGTGGGCATGCGAAGGCCAGTTCTAGGGAGAAAGCATCCTAGCACACGGCTTACTTGGGGTGGTGTGTGAACTTCTGACTACTAAGAGTAATTCTTTAAGCCCTGGCCCTTTTTTACTTGGTGGTATCATTTGTGATGTAAGCAACTGATATGACTCTCATGAAATTACTTTTTTAAAATTTCTGATTCATTGAAATTGATTCACCAACCCCCAGTCAAGGTGTAGCTAGGTTCCCAGGGAATCGTAAATCCTAGGTGACACGGAGCCCTAACTCCCTCACCTTTACTAAATTCAATGATACAACACGAGTATGTTTCTCCAAAGTCGGCTTTTGGAAATCCACGTACCTTGGTTCGTAAGCTCCGATGGGAAGCGCAGCAAGGTCGAAAGGCCCAAACCTTTTGCCGATCTCTTCAAAAGCGGAGCAGTAGCCCGTATCTCCTGCGAAGAAGAATCGGTTCCAGGGGCCCAAGACGGACCAGCTGCCCCACAGAACCTTATTGTCGTCCATCAGAGTCCTCTTACACCAGTGCTGGGAGGGCGTGAAGACAAAAGTGACTTTGTCGTGTCTGGGGACACAGTTCTCCTCCCACCAGTCCAACTCGATCACATCCTCGCAGCCACATTTTTGCATCCAGTCGAGAAGCCCCAGCGGCACGAACCACCGGAGCTCGTTCCCGAAGCGCTCATTCAGAGCGATGACCGAACTGTGGTCCAGGTGGTCGTAGTGGTTGTGACTGATGAGGACGGCGTCTATCGGGGGGAGGTCACTTACGGTGCACGGAGTGGGGCGGAAGCGCTTAGGGCCCAGGCACTGCACGGGTGACGCCCGGTGGCTGAAGATGGGGTCCGTGAGAAATACCAGCTCGTCCATTTCCACCATCACTGTGGCGTGTCCCAGCCAGGTGACCCGCAAGCCAGCGCCGCCCACTCCAGCCTCCCCAGGGTCATCGATAAAATACGGTTTACGTACGGGGAGTTCTTTATCAAGTTCCTGCGTAGGAAGAGAGAGAAAACAGACAGCAGTTGAGGGTACGGTGGAAGAAGGCATCACTTCATCAGAACGCAGATTTCGACCTAAATTCTAGAGAGAGGGGCTATTTTAGGGGAACTGAAGTCACGCCATAAGCTTGCTATTTTTGCTTTCATCTGGGAAATGCATCCATAACTCACTCTTTCTGAACTGGACTTGATAATCGTTGCACAACGTCCTGACCCCAAGTGCAACGAGCAAAGGGAAATGTAGGTGGAGAAACCTGGAGGCCTTCTTGGCAGAATGCCCCAGAGGCAGGCATTTCGCTCTTCCCATTTCACTCGGCTGCTGTATTTGCAGGTCAAAAGCGCCTCTAAAGCAGGCCCGCCCCTGGAAAGCAAGCTGACGCCAAGTGGTCACACTCGCAGCTGTCTGAGTGCACGAAACTCACAGCACAGCACCAGGGCGTTTGGGGAAAACACAGCCACCACCAGGCTCCTCATTCCACACCCTCCACTGGCTACATCCATTGGTCAGAATGAGAGCAAAGGGCTGGACGCTGATGAGAAGCTGAGGGGGGTGGGGGGCAGGAATAGATGCAAAACAAAAATACAACAAAATATGGGCAATCATCTTCCTTTGATTCTTTTCTGTTTTATCCGTAGATCAAACCACACGAAAAAATAAAGAGGGCGGGGGGTGGGGGGGGGGTGTCGGTCAGAGAATACAAAAAGCTGCTGGCTTTTCACAAACCAGCTTTTACTGAAACGTGCTTTGGTGTTTCTGTGCAGAGGTCTCCTGGGGAAGCCTTCTTGTGTAACTCACAGCGCATGCACTGCAGGCCACCCACCCCCTCCGCTTGCCACTCAGAACACTTCTCGAAATCTTCAGGAACCCGGCAAGTGCATCTGTCCCCAGAGGAACTACGTGGTTGTCCCAAGGGGAGACTTTGAACAGTTCCCCTTTCCCTCTTTGTTGTGTGTTACCGGTTGGTTTGTTAACCACAGGCTTGGAGGTTCAAACCCACCAGTAGCTTCTCAAGAGATTAGAAAGATTTCGTCTCAGAAATCCTAGATCAAGTCACTATGACTTGGAATCAATGCAATGGCAGTGGGTGGGTGGTTCAGAGAACCTGGGTGGTGCAAATGGTTAAGTGTCTGCCTACCTACTGATAGAAAGGCTAGCAGTTCCAACCCACCCAGAGCACCACCAAAGAGAGGTCTGGCAATCCTCTTCCCAAAGATGGCAGCCTGGAAAACCCGGCTCGGATGCACAGGGGGTTTTGCCACATCGCAGAACGGGCACCTGGTAAGGAAGTTCAAAACGACAGTGGAGGCCATGACCAGTGATGTGCAGGCAGAATGATAACAATGTGTTTCTGTACTGACTTTATTCTTGGTTTGGTTTAATTTTCCACCCCAAAATTCCATCTGCTCTTTTATGCTCATCCATTTGGTTCTATGCTTCGACTTGTAATTTTATCAGTTAATGCAAATTTGGGGAAAGGTATGTAGAAACCCACCACAATTGACACCATTGTAAACCATATTGCATTAATTAGCCTGAGTATTGCCATTTTGGATGTCATGACTCAAGTACAGAAAATGTGCAAATCCTGTAATTCCTCTTATTACTGTTGTTTTCTGTAACTGCTGAGCCCTTGCCATTTATTTTTGAAATGGCTGATAAGTGTGTCTAAACCCCTACTCCAAGTTCCCCTTTTCTCCATACCGTGTGATGCCCCCTGCCCCCTATGCCTTGTTTATTCCATATGAAAAAAACCATCCTCTTTAAGCACGCAGGATCTTGGGAGAATTAGGCTCTAGGCACCCCATGACTGCCAGCTAATAAAGGCTTACTAACTTTAATTAAAGTTGTATGTGGGTTAATTGATCTTGGTCTGGCACAACAGGTGTGCTACAGAACAAGTAACTAAATAAAATATATGCAAGGCCTGTTGTCATCCAAGAAGGATCAGAGAACCCACTTGCTGAAGACATGACAACACAACCACTTTGGAGTCTTGAACATGTTAATAGGTCAAGTTGAGAAAATCATGAGGAAGGGTTTCTTCTGGGGGAAGATGGTGTTCTTAGTTACACGGCAAGGCTGGCTGCGCAGCCCTGCGCTCACTGGGTTGTATTAAATGGGCCAGTCGCGCGGCCTGTAAACGCAGCCTCAATAAAGCAGGTCACCTGCTATAAAAGTGCTCACAGGAGATCGAAACTGAGCAGCCACAATTTTTCTTCATGTTTCTTTCTTCCTCCTATATTGCCCATCATGAATGAGCAGCTTATTTTAAGGAATTTGACCCTGTTAAAATTCCCTATCCAAACTAGTTTTCAAAAGTGAGAATAGAGACTTTTTCCAGAAACACAGCACTCCTTGCACATCCCTTCCCACAAAGTTCATGAAGAACAGACTTCACCAAAATGAGCAAATGCCCAAGAAAGACGAACATAGGAGAAGCAGAAAATGGGGGCCAATGCAAAGCAGGCAGAGGGGTCCAGGATAATAAAAATGGAGGCCCCAGGACGGAAGCTAGCAGCCTGCCTGGAGGCCTGTGAGACCAGAGGACTGCCAGGTACTAAGGGACTCCTGGGGAAGGACTGGAGCCCATGGAAAATTGTAGTGAGGAGCCATGGAAAGTAAGGAAACAGCTTATATAGAGAGCTGAACAGGTGAAAATGAGGTTTTATTAACACCAAACCAAACTCACTGCCAACTCATAGCGCCCCTATGGGAAAGGTAAGAAACTGGGTTTCTGAGACTGCATGTCTTTATTGGGGTGGAAAGCCTTGTCTTTCTCTGGAGGACCTCATAGTTAGCAGCCCAACATACAACCACTATGTCACCGGGCTCCTAGATTAACACCGGGGTGGGGGGTGGGGATGTTTATAAGAAAGGACGTATGGTCATAGTACATTTGTTTTGGTTCATCAGTGAAAAAGACTGATGTAGTCACAATAATATAAACCATTAATTTGGCCCCAAATTGAGATGTACCTATTCTGGCAGCACAGGGGAAAGTCAAGGAGAGCCCGGGAGCTAGTGTGCGGGATGGAGAGTTCAATCTGCTAGACCGGGGTAGGCGGAACAAACACCAAGAACTGGCAATGCAGGCCGACTCCCCAGCAAACTCCAGAGAAGGCCACTGAGTCGGGTGAAAGCCGCTGCCTCAGGGCGGGGACCGGGCAGCAGCAGCTGGTTGGAAGACTGGTATTTTCCAATAAGCTTTTTTTTTTCTTTGAGCTATAGATATGTTGATTTTCTTAAAAATTAAAAAGCAGCTTGCAGCATAGTATAGCTTCTGCATAATATAATTAGTCTGACTCATTTGGGGTCATTGTGGAATTCACAACAAAGTTAATCAATACCTATGCAAGAAGCAAATGCAAAACACACACACACACACACACACACAGGCCAAAAGCTGTCTACCTCTTTGGAACAAGGAATACTGCTGTGATTTTTTTCCATTATCAGCCACCTGAGAACATTTGGAATTGAGAGATTTTTCCACGTGGGCCAAGGATTGACAAATCTGCCATCTTTTCCTCTCTTGGATTTCGTTACATCTTCCTCCAATCTGTAATCCAGTTTGAAGCTTTTCCTGGGGAATTTGGAAGAATCACTTCCTCTAGAATTCTGTGAATTTTGGCGTTTTCTCACTGCTTCTTTCGGATATTGGCTGCTTGTCATCAGGAACTGGTTGCTTTCGTTTTCATCCATGTCCTTTGGTGAAAAACTAAACAAAGAATGGAAAAAACCGTGAGTTTCACATAAAGGCCTTGAAATATATTACTATTGATGTTGTCAGTTGCCAGAAAGTCGATTTCGACTCACAGAGGCTCCAAGTGACAGAGTAATATTTAAATCGATGAATTTTTCTATGTGAATGACATTGTGCAGAATAAATTAGACTGTCTTCATGACTCTATAATATGCTCACACTTGAATTAAAAAAATATTATTGGTAATAACACAAACTAATTCAAAAAAATGATTGTTAATAACATAGAGTAAGACAGACTGCCTATTTCCTGGAGGATACCCCAGGAATTCAAATGATATAACCCCACTAGGTCTGATCACTTTCAGATTTAAAATAAATCAGCTACCAATGTCCCTGAAAACGGCAGTGAGTCCAAATTCCAGGAAAGAGGACATTGGCACATTGTCATTTCAGGGATATATGTAACCAGTCAGCAATGTAAACTTGAATTAATTTATATTTAAGACTGCCAGTTCTGGATAGTATATATTCTAGTTATGGAAAAGTTTCTTAACTTGGAGAAGTTTCTTAACTTCTCTCTGCCTTGATTACCTCACTCATAAAAAAATACATAATGTTTTCTGACTTCGAGGTTTATTAAAAGGAATAGCTAATGAAAATACTCTTTAAAAAAAAGTCTCACAGCCATCCTACACAGTACTAGAAATTTAGAAAATATACACATTAAGTATGTCAAGAAACAAATCAAAGCCTCATCGCTAGGAGTCAATTCCAACCCTGCAGGGCGGAATAGAACTGCCCTTTGGGTTTCAAAGACCCTAACTCTTCAAGGAAACAAAAAGCCTCATCCTTCTCCTGCAGGGCGGCTGGTGCTATCAAACTGCTGACCCTGAGGTTCAGCAGCCCGACAGGACAAGTAACCCACGACACCACCCGGGCACAGGCATGGGAAAGCAACTCAGGGTTAGCTGTGGCTGCGGGGTCTTATGACCGCTGTTACTGCTACCACCAGCAGCATGATTTAACTCAAGACGTTACGATTCTTCAGTTCAGAACTGTGGCTTGTAAGGAATACGAGTTTATCTGCCACAGATGTCATTTCCTTCTCCCTCTGTTAAGCACACTCGCTTTTTTGTTTAAGGAGTCTAAGTACAGTACATACACATAACACTCTTCATAACCCTAAGAAAACAGAGAGAATAATGGAAGACCAAATATTATCTTTATAGCTACCTCTGGTGTTTAAAGAGAAATACAGTCCAGAGAGAAGACGGCAAGCCCCAGGATGAGTGTGTACACAGAACCAAAGCTTTTATTCCAGACTACCCAGAGCAACGCGTCTGCGGTCTGGACAGTCCGTCTGAAGAGAAGACTCCGCTGCTGGCCGACGCCAAACGCACAGTGCTGTTGCGGGAAAGTCCGCATCACGGAGTCACGGAGCGAGCGTTCTAGCCTGGGCAAATAACTTCGTCTTTCTAATCCTCAATTTTCTCTTCTGTGAAAGGCCCCTCCAGGATGGGTCGAAAGGATTAAATGAGCTCATGCACGTCCAGTGCTGGGCCCTCGCCAAGTGCTCATTCCTTTCCCCTCGGCCGTCAACTGACCACACAGCTACGTTCTTGAACCTCTACGGAAGTCTGGTCACAAAACAACAAATGCTTCTCCTGGCTATAAGAGTGTGTGGAG